AACAAAGAAGCATAGAGAAAAGTATCTATTTTCGCTACACAGAGACAGCCCCTCCTCCAGACCTGCCAAACTTCCATTTCGCATAACATCATCCCCAGAAAGAGGTTTTACCTTTGTGCTTTGTTCAGTTGATTCTGCAGTTCTTGGAGAAACAATGGCAAATTCTCAGTTCACAAAAGCTCTCTTCTGCATTCCAGGTAAACCCAGTTTGGACGGTGCTTAATCTTCATGTTCAGGAGAGGAGACATCTGTGGAGGGCTTAGCATCAGCTATGACCAGCTAAACAAGATAAATGGTGTTCCCCTTCCCTGTGTTGATTTTAGGAAAAGGTTGAGTTAGCTATTGCCTATCTAACCTTGATCTCATTCCCTGCTCCAGACAAAGCCTGAGAGGGAGAGAAACTAACCTGAACTGAAGATTAAGAGGGAGGAAAATAATCTATCCCTGTGGTGTCTGAGCAAATAGATGGAATTGACTTATTTATTCTGAGTCTACTGTGTGTGGAGACAGTAGATAATAGATCAATGCAAGCAACTGTACTTCCCTAGATAGTCTCTGTGTGGGTGCAAGTGTGTCAGACTATGGGGTTGTACTGGCGATGAACAAAGGAAGTAGCGGCTATCTGGGGACTGGAGAAATAAGATACATTTGCTTTTCTAAATGAGTCCCTTTTATGCTGTTCTTGTTAAATGATGATGGAATACATTCAGTGCAGCATTTGGTTACTTTGTGTTCAGTCTCTTAACTGTTTAGCAATTTAAGTTGGTGGTAAGTAATAAGCAAACAAAATAAAGCAACTCTATTCCCTCCAACTTCCAAAATGGCAAACTAAAAATTGTTTGTCCATTCTAGTATCAGCAGCTTTGCAATGGGGTTGTTCTAAGCACCTTGTTTTGCTTGGAAGAAGCTTCCTCTTTCCAATGAAAAGCTACTGGAAGCTGAATCTGCCTTGTGCATAATTGCTAGTACCACTTATTTTCCTCCTTTTTATCATGAAAGATCCTTTTATATAGCATGAACAGCACAAACATTATTTACTCTTGAAAGGACAGTGGGTAGGACTGAAGCAGCATACTGTAGCATGTTTTTTTTCTTTAACTCCATCGGGGTGACTTCATGCTTACATGTAGTCATCAAATACTGGATCCTTCCCACTGTGTATGATGCAGGTTAGTAAATCAGCATGATAATGAAGAGGCATTCTTTTGCCTTCTCTAATTGTATTGTCTTTGGGCTGTTCAGAAAAAACCCTGGAAAAAGGCAGGAGTAACTGCAATCCATGGGAAAATCTGCAGAATTGGAATGCTACCTGAGGCAGTATTAGCTTCCACTGTGCTCTTTGTGACTCTCCTCTTCAAAGAAGCAGAGCACAGATGGGAGCTGGCAGTATGAGCCTGCATAAACATTGGTTCTAGTGAGCTACTGAAGTGGATGCACAAAAATTGCAAGGGAGGATGAATGAATCTGTCTGTGCTGCTAGGAAAGATCTGTAGGATTGGGTGCCCGGCTCTTTGCAGATCCTGGGGTTTCTATTTATGGTGTCACTCCAGACTCATTGCTTGGCCCTGCTGCTTTTCTGGACCAGGGTGAGTCGGGGGAGAATACAGCTGCACTAGCGTCAGAATTTATGCAATGATTTGGTCTTTTCTGTTTGCCTTTTGTGCAGGAGGGGAACATATATCTGCTGTTAGCAGGCCAGCCTGTCTCTGCCTGATTCTCTGCATCTCATTTTACCTTTCTGTGATTTGAGGGTAGACCAGTGAAGTCTTTTTTAAGTACTTCTTTGTTTCGGGTAGATAGATACATTTTAGGAGAGATCAGAGAAGGTTCTTGTGTTGTAGCACGTGACCTAATTTAATCAGAAATTGATACGTGTTTAAAACACTTCCTCAAGAATTTAGGAGACCAAAAGAGTCTCTTAAATTCTACACTGCAGCAGATTGGCAGGGTTTAACACTATCCACAGAGAAGCAAAGCAGCCAGATCAGGTGAATCCTATTAGCTTCAGTGTAGGAGTAAAAAAGCTTTTTCTTTTTTCCTGTAAGACATACAGAGGGACCATGCACAGAAAAACCTCTAGGAACAGCTAAGCTCGGGAGGCTTATTTCTGTTGTTGTTGTGTATGGTAACAATAAATCAAAATTGTAGAAGGGGGCAAATCTGGACCAGACCCAGAACATCTTCAGAGTCAGAAGTTAAGAAATGCCAGTATGAAAAGTATCAAGATTTAAATTTCAATGTTTGGTTTATGCCTGGGAAAACAGGCAGAAAGGAAAAGAATGGCTTAGAATAGTTACTTGTCATCTTGCTTAAGAGTGGTTAAGGGATGATGCTAGAAGTATTAGTCTTGCTGACTTCCTCCCCTCCAAAATTTTTAGCTAACCCATAAAACTGCTTTTTACCAGGAAAAGCAAAAAAAACCCCAAACGTCCCCAAACACAGAAGAAATTAGCAGTATCAGGGTTTAAAGAAAGGACTCTGTCATGAGAACTAGAGTGTGTGGGTGTAAGAGGAAATGAGATATGCCTTTGATCCCATAAGGGGATGGTAAATTTTAGGTCAGGTATTCATGATTGTAGCCTGTTGTCTTTTTAAAATTCCTTCTTCTGGGTGCTTTGGGCTCACGGGTAAATAAACGGTGCTCTGGTTTTAGGAAGTTTGTCACTATCTACTGCTAGTTACATCAGGGGTGGGCAATTATTTTGGGCGGAGGACTGTTTACTGAGTTTTGGCAAGCCATCGAGGGCTGCATGTCAGGCAGCCAGGGGCAGATAAATATGAATTTTCTTAGTTTTGGGGGTGCCCTGTGGGTTGGATAGAACGGCCTGGAGGGCCACATCTGGCCCCCCCCGCCTGCATTTTGCCCACCCCTGAGTTGCATGCTCCCTAAGGGGAGAACTGCAGGTATTTGGACTTGGACACAATGCAGGTAAGGGCACAAAGTCTGACACCTCAGAGACCAGAAAGGGGACAGAAGCATAGCTAATACTGTGGCTGTGATCATTGCTGATTACTTCCTTAAAAAAGAGTCTTTTTCTCTGTTTAATAAAGGCAGGCTGATTTGGAAGGAAATGTGTTCCAGGTGTCTTCCATGCCAAAGCTTTGAATTAAATGGGTTCTAACAAAGTCCAAACAACATAGCTTTGAACATAGCCAGATCTTCTGAAGCCTCTTTGTTCCTGTGTGATTCAAATCAAGACAGCAGTTGCATGAAATTTGCACTAATATATCTGTTAAAAGAGAATGTGATCATTTGAATAGGCGATGAAACATTTTCCCCAAGCAGACTATGAGTAACTACTGTCTGCAGTACAACTACAACTAGATTCAAAAAGCCTGAACAAATAGGGGTTTCACTAGGGAGAATGATGGAGGTTCAAATAAGGACAGGCCCTGGAGTGGCAATGATTTACACAGTTTACCCAGTCTACTTTTGAATTTTTCAGCTGTTTCCAGACTGATATGTCAGGTGCATAGACCTGGATATCTAGATCTGCTCTCAGATTTTGGGCTCTGACCATTCTAGTCTTGTTGCCTGTGACAGATTTTTCAAAGCTGATTTAACATTAGGTAGAGATAAGAACAGTAGGAAATACAGAAAACAAAGCTAGCAGTGTGTAGGGCTGACAAAAATAGGAGAGCTTTCGATTTTAATTCTCCATTTTTTTTCCATAGTGGCTTTTCAGTTTCTTTCTTGTAGGGAAATATTTGGAAGTTATTTTTGCATCTAAAGGAAGATTGGACCACTAATTATAAATATGACTATAAAAATAATACAGTGATGCAGAAAAATAGGCTATTGGAGTACTTGCTTACATAAAAAGGAAGAGTTTATTATCAGTTTCTATGAAAATCTGCATGTTTGTTAGAGATGGCATTAAGGCAAATGTCTTTGTAAATACTGGGGCTGGATAATTTCAGAAACAAAAACAATTGAACTGTCATCTGAATTCTAAATGGCACTGCATGCATCTGGGTGTTTCTTTTTCTGGTTGTGTGTCATTACAGCGGTGTGATTAGCACACACCCTACTGAATGTTCTGCGAGGTGCTAAGGACCTTCCATTTGTTCATAGGGTGTAAGTGTTAATTTACAGCAGGGCAAAGAACTGAAGGGAAGACAATTACCTGTGTAAGTCACTTTCATTCATAGCGGTTGCTTTTCTGATTTGGTTTGCATGCACCATATATTTTCCCCACATTAACCTTATGATACTGCAGTAAGCAGAAACTGAAATAGAAAAAAATAACTCATTTTTGAAAAAGTGGAAACCATTTTCCATCGTAACTGGCCATGTCTGAGTGATAATGTAGGACTGGATTATCCAGTAAGAGGGCTTCTGAAATTATAGAGAATGCTCAAAGATGCCATTAGATACAGTACAATACAATAACTTCAATATTGACTGTTCCTTTTTTCTGGAAATATCCTCACTCCATGTCAAGCTACACTAAAATTACCCTGATCAGATATAATCTTAGCTACTCGTGCAATTATCTGTACTAAATGATAAATATTTTCTATGTTAGAATGTTTTTGTTCCTTCCTATGTAGCATTCTCTCTAAGCTATATTTGTTATATTGTCCCCAGCTATCCATTGCAGTCTGAATCCAAATGGTATTGATCATCCTGTCCACACAGAAGGCATTAACCTCCCACTTGAAGGTGAAGGAGTGGAGTCACTCTCGGTTAAGAACGACAGTACCCAGAAGGTGCCTGAGTCCAAAGAGACACCCAAAAGAGAGCAAGCAGAACCAGAAACTTCAAAGGTAGGAATTATTGGATCCAGAGATGTGGGTTTTCCAGAAAAATTTGAATTGGAAAATTTTCCGGTGCCCTAAATAGAGTGTGATCTGATTTAGCATGTTTATTCGACTTGTATTTAGTAAACAAAACTAAAAAAGTACCCCCATGTTAACGTTATGTCCCAATAGCAATAAGTATTTGAACCGAAATATTTGATTAGGACAAAAAATAAATAGAGCACACTTAATGTGGTTTAAATGTTACATTCAAACAAATTCAAAGCTTTATGTGGAAAGAAAATATTTTTATTGGAATACTTGTAAAAATAATGCACAATAGCATGTACATTGTTTGTTTAAATTTAAGAGAAAAACCAAAGCCACTGAAAACTGTTGACACACTAATTTTAGCACACCCAAAGAACTGTGCGTGATATGCTGTGGCTGTCCTCTCATCTACTTCAACAGAGTTTAATTCTCTTCCACTGAGGCCATTGTAGCACCTCCAGTCTCACTGTCACTATCTGGAGAATCACTTGCACTACTTATTAGTTCCATTTCAGAATCAGATTGAGGAAAATCTGATTCAGAACTACTTGAACCACTTTCTCTTTCACTAAAGGATGGTTTTACCAATGAGTCTATGGGCAAGGGCAGTGTATCATAACGCTGCATCTTCTTCGCTAATTGTGCTTCTGACTGATTCTCCAGAAGCAAGAGATTTTGAGAAACAGAAATAAGCTTAGCAGTGCATTCATTTGTTAGTTTAATCTTTTTTTGTCTTGGCTGACAGCCTTCCCGTTCCGTTTACAAGAAGCTGCTGTTGGTGGACTGCTTAGGATCCTTAGAGCAGTCTTGGACAACAGTTGGGTTTTACAGTATCCCTCCACCATGTGAGGAGACATATTTTCTGCTGCCTGCTAATTGATGTCTTTGTTCCAAAGTTTTGCTTTTGTGCGGTACTTGGCAGTGTCTGTCATCACAGCTATTTGGTCGATGTTGGGGACATTCTTAGCTACTTCCATAATTGTACTGAGAGCAGTAGATAATTCATCTTCTGATAAGTGTTGTCGTCTGTGTTGAGGATCCAAAAGGTTTGCTGCCAGCTGAACTGGATGAGAGCAAAACTCAGATCTCTTAGTAAACATTTGTTTTATTACTACTACTTTTTTGGATAGAGGTGAACAAGGCAAAAGCTCAATCAGATTTTCATTCAGTTGTCTGAATATCTCTGGAATATTTGAAAGGCGTGGTGTATCTCCTTCAAGTTTCTTGATAGCCACTGAAATTGGTAGTATCTATAATTTTGAAACTGCCAAGCTTGCTTAATATTTTATTGGCATCCATTCATTGTTACTAATGAATTTTATGAAACAATGAATTCTTACAAATGGAAAATTTCCAATGAAAAAATAAAGCTCTGGAAAATTTTCTGCCCCACCTCTCTGATTGGATCATTATTTATGTTGCAGAGATCTGCAGCATCCAAACATTTCGAAGTCATAGTGACAGCTTGAAAGAACTTATGATACAAATAAGAATTACGTAAGAAGTGAAAGCAGTGCTTGGAAGGGAACGGGTGTTGCAGAAACATGGAGATATTGCTATTCAGATTTAGGCACATGCACCACCTGGTGCTTTCAATATTTTATAGCTGTCTATATGAAGACAGATTATTTTGACTGTTGCAAACGTGGCAACCAGCTGTTTTTTCTGAGTGACTTGAATAAGTGACTTGAGTGGACCAGAGTGGGAATGGTAGTTCTTTTTATGTGGCTATCTAAATATATGGGCTTTTGGATGGGTGACTGAGCTGAATATTCTCTGACAGCTAGGAAGAATATACCCAGTCAATTTTCCCATATCTGACTATGAACAATCAAACCTCGGATGAGAATTTTAAAGAGAAATGAACTGTCTCTTCTCATTTGTAGCTTGTTATGAATTTTGAGTTTCATGTTCATGGACAGTAGAGATGTTTGTCAAATACAGGTGAGCGTATATGCTCCTGTCATATTTCTTCTGGGGAATATATCTTGTTTCTCTCTGTGGACTCAAAACACACATTTTTAACTAGAAGGGGAAATAAGCAAATGTAAAATCTATTTTCGGCAACTTTTCATAAAAATAATTTGGAAGCCATAAAAACAGACTTTTTGATGGGGGTAAGTGAGGGATGTCTGCTGAGTGGAAGATTGATGTTTTTGCTGAATATGTCATTTTGGGAGTTATTGGAGTGGATAAAATAGTAGTAATAAAGAAAAAATGAAGACTGCTTTAACAATTGTTTTCAGTAACTTTGAAGAAATGAAAAGATTTTCAATAGTAGATGATACATTACATTTAACAGATAATGAATTTCCAACCACAGTGAATTTCACTTTAAATTCCATTAGCTTTAGATACTTGAGCAGTAACTTTAATGATAAAAACTTATGATGAATTCTGTGTAACAGTGTTTATTTTAAGATAGCTAGGTATAAACATGTGTCATTTAAACTCATAGTACTGTTTTTTCACCAAGGACTTGATCCAAAAAGAGGACTTAGGCACCCAACATCTGCTTATGTCTTGATTTAGGTGTCCAAGTGGAAAGCTGCAATCTAAAACACCCTTCCTCAGTGACAGCCTAAACCAAGAGATGTCTAATAGAGTTGTGTGAAACAGCACCGTTCCGTTTTGACTTGCGTTTCGATGGAACAGCCTTTTGTTTTGAATTTTGTTTCGATTCAAAACTTCTGTTCTGTTTTGTTTCATTGAAACAGTTCCACTGTTTCGATGCTGTTTTGACATTTCACCCATAGGCTATAATGGGGAAGCTCAAAGCAGCCTATAATTTTGTCATTTCTGGCCTGATTTGGATGAAACTTGCTGGAATTGTAGCCCTTTCTGAGGCCATGACACCTGCCAAGTTTCAAGGAGATAGGTGCAGGGGGAGTCTGGGTTCTAGGGCCCTGTATCTCTAGCTGCCGATAGGCAAAACCCATGACATGGGTGGGTGACACTGTGTGTGTTAAGGCGTAGCAGGGTGAAAACTGCAGGCCTGCTAGCCCCTGCTGTGGTCATGAAGCCTGCCAGCTGTCAAGGAGATAGGTGCAGGGGGAGTCTGGGTTCTAGGGCCCTGTATCTCTAGCTGCCGATAGGCAAAACCCATGACATGGGTGGGTGACACTGTGTGTGTGTGTGTGTTGAGGTGCGCCCTCACTCAGCTGACACCAAGGCAGAAAGCAGAGCAGTTCAAACAATGCTGCCTTTTATGCAATATGTCCATCCGTCCCTCAGAGCACTGGGATTGGAAGAGTCCTCAGGAAAGGATGACAGTCACTGGCCAGCTGCACAGTCAATAATGAAAGCAGTCCACCCCCTTCCGTTTTGACTTGCCTCATTTCATTTCGAGACTGTTTCGAAGTTCTCTGTTTCGTTTCGATTTTGCTGTTTCAAGCTTGAAACGAGTCAAAACAGCATCGAAACAAAACTGCTGGCGAAATTTCACACGGCCTTAATGTCTAACTGCCTAGCGTGCCTCCCTGTTTATCTTGGAAGTTCCCCTGATGCTCGCTCTTCCATTTTCTGCATGTGCCCAGAACTGCCCTGGACCTGAGCAGTTATGTGCCTCACTCTCTCTGCCTCAGTCCTACAGGGAAGATCCAGAAACCAGTAGAGGTGCACTGATACATCAGTCTGTATCAGGGGTGGGCAAAATATGGCCTGCAGGCCGGATTTGGCCTGCAAGGCCATTTTATCCAGCCCACGGCACCCGTAAAAAATTTAGAAAATTAATATTTGTATGTACTTGGTTCCTGTAAAAAATGACAGCTCCCGCAACAGCAGGGCCCGCCCGGCCCCGCCCCCCCATCCTGAAGCTCCAGCAGGGGCTTCTGGCCTGGGACCATGTGCCGGAACCTCAGGTAAGGGGGAGGGCAGGGGAGGACCCCGGGCAGGGAAGGAGCCCAGGGAAAAGTGGCATGTGGAAAAGCTGAGCGCGGGGTGGAAAAGTGGCCCCTTGCTTGCCCCATGTCCAGCACCCCATGCTGCAGCCACTCGCAGCCTGCCTGGGGCTGCCTGTGCCTGTTCCGGACAGCCCCACGTGGGCTGTGAGCCGCTGCAGCAGGGAGCGCTGGCCAGGGGATGGGGGAGGGGCTGTTTCCTCCCCTGCCCCCAGGCTTCTTCCCGGCATGGAGAAAAGCAGCCCCTCCCCCGCCTTGTGGCTAGCACCCTGGGCTGCAAGCAGATGCAGTGCAGGGTGCCGGCCACGG